AGCCCTAAGGATGCATTGTGCACCAGGACCCAGGGAACCTGACTGCAGGGGCTTCAGTGAACCCGGCCAGAGAGAGATGGCTCAGCAGAGGAGGGTGCCTGGGGGGACAGAGCAATCCCGCGCTCCCTGGGGCGTGGGGGCATGGGGAGGGGGTGAAGAGGATGCTAAGCCCCTGCCCCAAGGGGCTGCTGTGGAGCCTGCAGGGTCGGGGCGTGAGCGGGCTGGAAATTGCTTTTCCCCTCCCCCTCCCGCCAATCCAGAGCTTAGCTGAGGGGCGGAGAGGCTTCTCCGTGCCGGAGCTGTGCAGGGCTTTGGCACATGCAGGGTTTGGCTCCTTCTGGCCAGTGCCCCGGGCCAGAGGGTCTGGGGCTTTCCTGGGGCACTGGTCCAGCAAGAGGCAGTGGGGGAAGGAAGGAGCCTGCTGGCCAGGCTGTTGGTGAGCTGAGTGCTCCGATCAGGGGCTGGTTCTCCGCACAGCGCTGGGAGTGGGACGCGTCCTGCCGGGGAGGAAATGGAAGAGCAGCGGGGTTGGGAAGGTGAAGGGGCAAAGCAGGGAGAGGACAGTGAGAAGGGAAGCACATAAAGGGCCGATGGGTTGGCAGTAGAGGCGACATGTAACCAGTTTTCACTGCATGGCGCCTGCCCGCACTTACCAGCCACTGCAGCTCACAGCTTGCAGCCAGCGCCTGCCAGAAACAGGACGGGGGGCAGGGCCCTGCTGGCCGAGAGCCGGCATGCAGCAGGGGCTGCGCTGATGGACCAGCAGGGGGAGCAGCCGGCCCCACATGCTGCATCTTTGCCCCACCACCAGCTTTGCATACCCACCTCCATCGTTGGCCACTGGACTGCCCCCACTCACTGCTGGTAGGCGGGCGGCTGGCAAGCAGGGATCCGGCCAGCAGCAGGACCCGCCAATACTGACGGGGGAGGGGGGAGACAGAAAATACAGGACAATTTGCCCATTTTTAAGAAAAAGTTGGGACACCTGCAGGAGGGCTTAAATACAGGACTGTCCCTTTAAAAAAGGTCTGATCACCCTAATTAGGTGTGACCAAGTGCAAGCCCATTGTGTGGGCTCTCTAGTAACAGTGAAATCTCAAAATGTGGAATAGCCTCCCCCAGGGGAAGTGGAGAAGCTCAATAGCTTCCGACATTTCGTACTGCACCAGACAAACAACTGGATAGTATGCTACAGGTGACAGCCTTGCAGCACGGAGATTAGATGTAATCTAATAGACTGTCTCCACCTCTGACTTCTAGGGTTTAATATTATATTAGCCATCACATACAGTAAGTTCTAACTGACATGGTTTTCAGGCTAGAGTGAGGGAAGCCTTATCCCAACCTGTCTGTGACATACTACCCTATTTACTCAATTGCTTGATCCCTTGGCCGGGGTCTGTGAGGTGCTGAGAATTTATTGCAAAGTATAAACACTCTTGACTCCCAGAAGATACAATACAGAGCACACTCTTGGTCCACTTGCCACCATCCTTTGATGCATTGATATTAGCCTCATATCATCAAGTGGATACTTTTACATGTTTGTGGCTCTCTGCAAAATGCTGCTTTCATTTGTAAACTCACTGAAGCTATTCAAGTTTCACTGGTGCAACTGAGAGCAGAATTTGGCCCTCTGTGTACATATCTGTCTCCCTCTCTTTACTATGTCAGTGCAAATAGAAATAAAGAAACAGAAGAAGGAAGGTCCCCCAATGACAGTACCTTCCCTCACCTTGCCCCTCATAGATTCATAGATTCTAGGATTGGAAGGGACCTCGAGAGGCCATCGAGTTCAGTCCCCTGCCCTCATGGCAGGACCAAATACTGTCTAGACCATCCCTTGCAACTGCCATTTGAAATCACAGGAAACAGGTCAAAATAGCTCATATATTATACAACACCCCACCATCTCCTGAAATGGAGAGCTGCTTTTTGGAAGCAAAGAATTGTGACTTATGTCATGGCACATAATGGTACAGCTAAAAGGCATCACATTACCCACTTTGTCATCTCATGATGATCAATGAGATGAAATGTAATGTACACCCATCATCATGTATACTCACTCTTTCTGGGTTTCTGTGTGTTGTACTGTCCTTCTGTGTGTTGTACTGTCCTTCTGTGTGTGTGTGTGTGTGTGTGTGTGTGTGTGTGTGTGTGTGTGTGT